TGTTCGCAACGCCGACCCCAAGAGGTCTGGGGAGCCCTTCTCGAGGACCCGCCTTTCTCGTCCTGCGTCGTTTCTTGACGGTCCCAGGGCCTGGCGAGGGTCCCATGGGAGGCCGAAGACAGAAAGCGCGAGCCCGTCGTGATTTTTGTCAACGCGCGGGGAGGTCTCGGCCTCCTTCGGACCACGGCGGCGGCCGCCGTCGGCGCCGGCGGCGGCGCGGGTCGCGCGCCGGCAAGGTGCTGAGCTCGGTGCTGCTGCGCCGCCCCGAGCCGGGCGGGGGGCAGCCGGCCGACGAGGCGGCGCCCCTTGGCACCAGCGGAGGGGCCGAAGCATCCCCGATCGATCCTCGGTCCTCGATTCCAATGTGTTTTGCTTACCATGCGACGTGTGCTGTCTTGCTTCTTGTGTCCGCTCTCTGTCTGCTTCCCATCGTGGCGCTTCTTGCACCGCATTACGCCGAATTGCATCACGCGTAGTGGAGCGTCCGTCCGTCCGTCCTTCCGGTCCTCGATCCTGCAAGACGGTCCCAAGATTCGCAGAAGAAAAGCGCCATAGTAAGCATAATCTATTGACGTTCCGAGCGGATTTCTAAGATCAGCGCTGGGGCCCCCCTGACGGCGCCTCCGGCGCCGCCCCTGGCGCGCTCCGCGCGCCAGGGAGGAAGGAGGGGGGTCCAGCGCAGATCCAAGAAATCCGCGCGGAGTGCCAAAAGTCTATGTTTATGGCGTAGACACCCCAAGAGGGCTCCAAAAGATTACCTCCAGGAGGCCCACATCACAGATTTGCCGCCCGCTTGTGTTTCCATGATCGTAGCGTTCTCGCTTTTTCGGGCTTCCGATGATCCAGGACGGAGCCGTTTTCCGTCGTGACAAAAGTCAGGAGGGAAAAAACACACAGACACAATTGCTCGTCGATTCCCCAGGAAATATGGGAAAATATGGGAAGTGGGGGGGAGACAAAAACACAGAAAAGATGGGAAACTATGGGAAATCCTGTTATTTGTGTCTATTTATTTGTGTGTCCCAGGGCTCCTTCAGAAAAACCGGTCCCGTGGAAGCTGCCTCGGCCTTTTGGGATCCATGTCTTCGGCATCGTTCGGGCGTGTGTATTCTTCTCTTTGGCGAGGGCGATCGAGGAGCATCCTTGACCGCCCTGCGAAAAGGTTCACGCGCGAAGTAGAATAGTGCACCTGGAACGGACGTCCGAGCGATGGCAAGAGTCGCGATAGGAAGCACGACGTCGGTGGTTTTTGGGGGGGAGGACCACGGGTGTGATAATTGTGGCAGCATCCGCGCGTGACCACCTCCAGTGTTCGTGCAGGCATCACACCCACCCGCCCGCAGCTTGTTGGCAACACTCGGGCCGAACGAAAAGGGGAGATAGGGAAAGGGGGTGTTATATACGTACGATATCTGCTGCATGCAGCTGGTTTCGGCCCCGCCGCCGGGCCCATTGCTCGATACATGGGCGCCTCCGGCGCCGGGAGGCGCCGTGGAAATCAGTTGCGTGAGCTGCTTCCCCAACCCCCCCTTTGCTATCCCCTGCTTTCGTGCGACCCGAGACACTCAGCTAGGCGGCGACAACAGCGATGACGGAGCCGATGACCACGGTGGGGAAGATGACGATGCCGATGGCGACGGTTAGGGGCGCGCGTGGTGTGTGTTTGTGTGTGTGTCTGTGTGTGTGCGTGTGTGTGTGTGTGTGTGTGTGTGTGTGTCTGTGTCTGTGTGCGGGTATGGGGCCATGGATCGCAAGAGCAGGTGACATAATGATACCGGAGAAAAAACCCAATCATAATCTTTTTCGGGCTGTAGGGCTACATTGGCTATAGGGCTATTGGGCTATAGGGTAATAGAGCTACAGGGCTTAGGGCTATAGGGCTATAGGGTATAGGGGTATAAGGCTATAGAGCTATAGGGCTATACGGCTATAGGGCTATAGGGCTATTGAGCTATAGGGCTATAGGGCTATAGGGCTATAGAGCTGTAGGGCTATAGGGCTATATGGCTATAGGGCTATAGGGCACCCCTGGGCACGCCCGGGCACCCAGGCACCCCCGGGCACCCGTGCACCCGGGCACCCCTGGGCACCCGGGCACCGGGCGTGCGGCGAAAATCGGCGGCAAACCTAACCTAACCATATTAATCCGCTAGGACCCCTACAGAGGCAAGCTCTGATTGGGGAAACATGCGTTGTCATCTGCACTCTGGACCTGGATTTCTTATACCTGCACTTGACCTGGGTCCAGCACCGATCCAAGAAATCCGAGCGGACCTTTGGTTATCGAGGGTACGCATTGCGCGAATGCTCGCTGGCCCTCGCAGACTGGGGCGCAGTATTCATGCATGTGGTTCACTGCTGCCTTCTGCCGTTTCCTGTCCTTCGTCTTCTGCCGCCCGCCTGTTTTGCCCCGCCGTCGTCGTGGTTTGTCGGCGTCGCCGTCTTGCTTTCGGCGACCAGCTCTGCTGCACTCCCTCACCTCGACTTTCGGTTTTGCCACAGTGATCATGACAAGCGCGTGTTGGCATCTGAGGAGGGGAGTGCGAGACGGGAGGATGTACTTTAGTGTCAGAGGCGCTTGATGGGTTTGCTCGAGGCCTCATCCTGATTTCCGTCCGTCTCATCCTCGTCCTCCTCCTCTCAGGAGGGAAAAAGACAGACACAATGAATCGTTGATTCCCATGAAAGTATGGAGAATTATAGGAAGTGTGGAGGAAGGCGAACCTCCAGAAACTTTTGACAAACATACGAACATGGGGGACCCTGGGATTTGTGCCCAGTTCTTTGTGTGTCCCTGGGCCCCCTTCGTCCTCCTCTGCGTTGCGTGCGCACGGGCCCCTCGGCCGGCCGAGTCAGCACTGGGCGTGCGTGGCCACGCTGGCGAGTGGTGCGAGGCGCCAGCAGCGGGCACGTCTTCGTCACGCTGTACACGCCAGTGGCTGAGAGCAGGTGGAGTCCCAGATCCCAATCTGCTCCAAGCGTCTTCCTACCTCAAGAACCGATCTGAGCTGGCTGTGGTCTGTTATTCTCTGGGAGGGCCTGAAGCCAGTCTGCTTTGTCCGACTTCCTACTTCATGTGTCCACCCACTTCTTCAGACCAGCGTGTATGCCACCTATTCAGTCGTTGCAGCGCGACGCCGCCTCGAGGTCACCTTTCTTTTGCGCCTTTGCTTCCCTCCTGCCCTTCCTCCCTCCTCCCTATCTTCCATCCTCCAGCTCTTCTCCCTTGCTTCTCCCTCCTGCCTTTCCTTCCTCCCCTCATCCTTCCCTCAGCCCCCCCTTCTCGTCCTTCTCCCTCCCATCTCCCTCCTGCCTTCCCCTCTCCCCCTCGCCGCCGTCCCCATCCTGCTTCTCCTCGTGCTCTTCCTCTCTTCTTCCTCCTCCGCCTCGTCTTCCCCCCTCAGCGAGTCTCGGCCGCCGTGATCTTCTCACGGCTCCTTGATCTGTTTGTTGGGAAGGCATAGTTTGTTTTACAGCCTTGGAGGAGAAGGAGGAGGAGGAGGAAGAGGAGGAGAAGGAGGAGGAGGAGTAGGAGGAGGAGGAGAAGGAGGAGGAGGAGTAGGAGGAGGAGGGGGAGGAGGAGGAGGAGGAGGAGGAGGAGGAGGAGGAGGAGGAGGAGGAGGGAGGGAGGAGGAGGAGGGGAGAGGGAAGGAGAGAGGAGGAGGAGGAGGAGGAAGAGGAGGAGGAGGGAGGGGAGGAGGAGGAGGAGGAGGAGAGGAGGAGGATGAGGAGGAGGAGGAGGGAGGGAGGAGGAGAAGGAGGAGGAGAGAGGATAGAGGAGGTTGGCGGCGTCTTCAGCCCCCCTGCCGCCCCCCGCCCCCAAGCCCTCTCCGGAGGCCTCTGGAGGGCCAGGGACGTGTGCTGCTACAGACGCCCGGCCACATCGATTCTCTATCCGTGATGCCCCCCTCCGCCCGGTCCCTCCTTCCGCATCCTCCTCCTCCTCCTTTCGGGGGCCCCCAAAAGGGGTGGGTGACCGCACCGTGTGGTGAGTCGGTGGGGATTCGGGGTCACCGCACGGTTTTGGGACTCGGGTCCTTCTCCGAGGACGTCTCGGGCGACAGGGGCCTCCGAGGTCCCAAAACCGTGCGTTGGCGGACCGTGCGGTGAGGTTTTGGGGGATCTCGAGGTCACCGCACGGTCTGTCACCGCACTGCTTCGGGACTCCAAATCCTCTCTTAGGCCTCCTAGATGGGGTCGGACTAGATGGGGTCGAAGGATCGTGCCGCATCGCTGATGCGTCGCTGGTGCGGCTCTATCTGGAGCCCGATTTGCTCCACGTCGACGTCGCCCATGCATCGCCCACGTCGACGAGGCATCGCTGGTGCATCGCCGATGCATCGTCGATACATCGCCGATGTATCGGCGATGCTGCTTGATCCTCCAACCCCATCTACTCCGACCCCATATAGCAGGCCTCTAGCCTCCGTCCTCCTCGATATCGAAGGGCATACAGGCACCCACGCCGCTACCTTCGCGGTGTCTTCCGCTTTTTCGCCCTCCTGGGGGGCCCTCGTCGCCACCGTTGGAGTCGCCCCGAAGTTCTGGTCAGAGCGCACCACGGGAGAGGTCCGGGGAATCTCGGTAACGGTCTCCTTACATTTCACCACGATCCTCCTCGATCTTCGATCCTCCCCACATGTCCTCCCTCCTGCTCCTGGGCCAAATGTGTGTCCCCTGATGCTGGAGCTCCCCCCCGGCTACCACAGGTCAAACATTGCAGCCGGGGCATTTCTGCCTTACACCTCCCCCTCTCGTTGGTGATCATCTTCCCCCGTCCTCCTCGGATGAACCACCAGCAGAGTCCTCTCAATCGATGCTCACTGTGGAAGAGACCCAGCCTCTCCCCAAACAGTCCAGCGAAACCTTATGTTGTCACCCCACCGTTGGCTCCTAGCAGTTGGTGCTGAAAGGCGACGGAGGAGCAAGCAGTCGACAGCACAGTTCTCCTTCGTCCTCCTCGTTCTCCTCGATGCTAGATTCCCGCCGCCTCCGTCCGCATGTACATGTGCACCTTGCCCGTGGTTCGGGCGGAGCCTTTGAAGTTCGCCCAGGCTGGCGTCAGGGAGGTCGTGAAGAACGTGTTCCTGCCTGGGTGCAACGCCTTCCGCTTCCTGGTCGGGGAGGCGACACGCTACGAGGCTAGCGAGAACGCAGTCTTCAAGCAGGACAGCGAATGTATCAAGAAGAGCACCAATATGCTGGACAAGCAGGTGGATTAACGCAACCTCGCATCAGCTCATCAAGTTTGTCCAAGAGGAGATGGACGCCTACCGTCGCCACACTTACGTGAGGAGCTCACCAACTGGCACATCCGACTGAATCGCGACAGGATCAAGGGCGACAACGGCACCGAGGCGATTTTCATTGCGCTGTGCACGCTGTCGGACGTGGTTCTTAATGTGGCAACCATGTTGGCAGCAGTCACTCGATACCAGATCCCCCCCGCATCGTCTCCCCCCCTCTTAGGCCGCAACTCCTGCGAGGTTCAATTCTGAATCGGCGCTGAGCTCATATATCCTTGGTCGAAAACTGGCCGAATCTGGCCCACTCCCGCTGCATCCCGCTTAATATTTCTTCGCCCTGGGCCTAAGCAGGCCTGATCCGGCCCAATGTCCCCTTGATCGGGCCTAGTCGCCTGTAGTCGTTCTGACGAAGACTTCCAAGCAGTTGCCTCCTAAGCTACGTGAGCTGATTCGCCAATCCCCCTTCTGCTCCCTCTCCCCTTTCACCCGACCCGAGGATAAGAAAGGGGAACTCGCATTGTCCAAGGCCACCCAGGCCCAGGACCAGAACCAATCTCTCCAGAGCGCCCTGGAGCGCTCTGAGAGCGCTCCGCAGCGCTGCGGGACCGGCCGCGTCGCTCGACACGTGCTCCAGAGCCGCCGCCAGATCTTGGAGATCCCCGATCCTCGTCCCGATCTGACTTTGCCCTTGTTCCTGGCGTCGTTCGACCCTCGCGTTCGTCGACAAGACGTAAGAGTGACCTTTCGCCGGAGTGACCTGGGGTGCGGGCACAGATGGGTCCCCAGATGGCTGAACACGACGCAGGGGCAGCGGCTTGGCCGCCTCAGTTTGGTCCCCCCGCGGCCCCCAAACAGCCGCGCACCAGAGGTCACCCTTACAACCAGGGTCACTCCTGCGTGTGGCCGCGTCCGACCCTCTCTCCTCCTCGCATCTCCCCCGCCGCCTGCTCTCGGAACGGCCCAGAGAGCGCGCGCCGCCCTCGCCAGCGGCGACCGCGCGGGCCCGGAGGCCGCAGCGGCGAGCGAGCGCCGGCGATGGGTCATCTTTCAGGCTCCACGGGGAGGATCAGGGCGCCATGGATCGGAGGTTGATGGACCTCCTACCCTGACACGCCGATTCGCGAATCGGCCATTTTCGGTTCGCGAGAGGGCGTCGCGGCCGTCGTTTTGGAGGGTCCAGGTCTGTCGGTGTCGGTCCCAGGCCGTTTTCACGAAAGGGAGGTTTGATAAAGGGAGGTTTGTCCACCGCCGAATGAAGCAACTTGTGTGGCTTCTGGCAGACCTTGAGATCCTGGTGTCTCGATTTTCTCGAGCCGGGCGTTTTCGCTTTTTTTGTTTTCGGGCCCCAGGGCCCTCACAGATCGGTCCGGCTAGAGACACGACGCAGAAGGATGGGGTCTGGGGCTCCAGGCATGATTTTCTACGATGTTGCATTTTTTTCGCTACATCGGATCCCAGGGGATAGGAAGGCAGGAGAGGAGGAGGAGGAGGAGGAGGAGGAGGAGGACCAGAGGACTGGAGGAGGAGGAAAGGAGGAGGAGGAGGAGGAGGAGGAGGAGGAGGAAGTAGGACCAGAGGAGGAGGACTGGAGAGCAGGAGGAGAAGGAGGAAGGAGGAGGAGGAGGGAGGAGGAGGAGGAGGAGGAGGAGGAGCAGGAGCAGGAGGAGGAGCAGGAGGTGTCGATGCTGCCACCCTTCCCTCGTCGCCACGGCTGGATTCGCCTCAACATGTTGGTCAGAATGCGCCCTGGGAAAGGTCCATGTAGTGGCGCTTCCGGTGCCCTTTTGTACCCCCAAGGGGGATGGAGGGGGAGGAGGAGGAGGAGGAGGAGGAGGAGGAGGAGGAGGAGGAGGAGGAGGAGGAGGAGGAGCAGGAGGAGGAGCAGGAGGAGGAGGAGGAGGAGGAGGAGGAGGAGGAGGAGGAGGAGGAGAAGGAGGAGGAGGAGGAGGAGGAGATGCAGGCAGGCCACATTGGGGGGGTCAGGGGGAGCGTTGGGAGGGGGGCAGGCTCAGGGGAGGACTCGAGGTTCGAAGCTGTTTTTTTTGGGGGGTGGGGCGGGGTTCGAGGTTTTCGTGCGTTTTCGTTGGTTCTTGGCGGCGTTCCAGCCTCGGGACGCTCTCCAGCGGCTGCGCCTCGCCGAGGGCGCTCAGGGGCCGCCCGGAATGGTCCCGCACGGCCGCCGGAGAGCCGAGCTACGACCCGCAAGGCAAGGGGCAAAAGCCTTGTTTCTGTTGTGAGGTCTGGGCGAGAGCGTCTGTGCTCCGCCCTCTCCCTCCCCTCCGCGCCACCCCGGATCACGCCGCACCATTTTGCCCACGCGTGCTCCATCCCCCCCGCGGATCACGTCACGGTGCTCACGGCGGCCCCCCGCGGTGCTGTGATCTGGGGGGACGAACTCCCCCCCCTGATCACGCCCGCCATTGCGGATAGTGAGAAAATACACGGGCTCCAACGTCAAGGGGAGTTAGGCTCAGGGGGTGACGCATCGACCCCCAATCGCCCACTGGGGCCCAGCAGCCCACCCCGCCCAGGACCGGCGTAGCCAGCGGCGATGCATCGCCCCGTTTCAGCTCGATTTCCCCCCCCCACCCACGAGCCGGTCTCCCGAACATGCCCCATCGGAGGGGGGAGGGAGGATGGAGATGGAGATGGAGAAGGAGGAGGAGGAGGAGGAGGAGGACGAGGAGGAGGAGGAGGAGGAGGAGGAGGAGGATGGGGAGAGAGGAGGAGAGGAGTGAAGGAGGTGGAGGAGGAGGAGAGGAGGAGTAGGAGAGGAGGAGCAAGAGGAGGAGGAGCAGGAGAGCAGGAGGAAGGAAGGAGAGGAGGAAGAGACCAAGAGAGGAGGAGGAGGAGGAGGAGGAGGAGGAGGAGGAGGAGGAGGAGGATCCACTCTTGGCTTCCCGATGCTGGGGCTTCAGATCGACGGCACATTGGGCTCGGTCATCTTTGTTTGGCTTGCAGTTCGG